ATGCCAAAATCATGAATTTAGCGTAAAAACACACCATTTCTAAAACAAAATTAATGAAACTATCTTTCTTAATTTTTTAAATATTACTCATAATTGCACTTTCATTTTAAATATAACGCTTGAATTACTAATCTAAGGTTAAAACATATTAAACTAACTTATCTTTGAAAACTTAAAAATCACTAAATCATTAAAATAAAAAAAAATGTTCACTGAAAGAAAAAATGTAATACGTTAGTTGAATATTTAAATACTGACTCACAAACAATATTGGATGTCAAATCGATTAGAAATAGATTAAAAATAATTTCTAAATCTTTTTTTTAAAACATAATGTTTGCCTTCTTTATATATAATTATTGAAAAATTGAATTATTGAAAAATGCTTTTTGATTGTTTCAAAATATTTCCCGTATCATCGACCCTTTTTGGAACACTTTTTTTTTTCTGATCAGGTTTTGAGTAAATTATAATGATATCAAAATATAAAATTGAATAAGCTAGTGGGCTCATTTTAAAGATTTATTTCAGTGGGATAAATGATGAAAGAATTAATTCTTAAAGATTCGTTAATGATTCAGGCAATTAAAATGAGCCTTCATTTATTCTGACTGACATAAGCGTTTTCATCGCTTGCGTTTTACTTCGTTTTTTACATTTGATTATGTTAATGAACATCGAAGTCGAACAAATCTTCTCTTAATCTTCTCCGTTCTTTTTCAATCAATTTAAGGTCAAGAATAGATCATTTGCTAAGTGGTCTAAGTCACAGTTTTTGATAAGCTTTTTGTTTAATTTTTTGTTGTTGTTTATTTTGCATAATAGGCCATGTTTTCGTAGTTAACAGTATCTTACTTCAAAATTTTTTTGGTGTTGTTGTTATCTTTTGCTAAGCTGTAGATTTTAACAAGGAATTTGTTTTTCTAAAATGTTAAAAAAAATTATAAATTTCAATTTTTAATGTAAATAACCTAAATTTTGAAATTTTTTTGTTCTTTAAAAAGTACCCCGTTCTCCATGCTAAATAACTCTTCAAAAGTAGGCGATTCGAACAAAAAATGCTGGAAATCGATTCAGTAGCTTCTGTGAAAAACACTCTCAAAGATGATTAAATTTAAACAATGAGAAAGAGGACAAGAAAGAAATTTCCATAACAAAAGCGTTTTTTAAATTTTTTTTTATTTTTATTCATTTATTTTTTTAAAACTTACTTTTCTAAGCAATTTTTTTAACAGACTAAAAAATTGAAACGCAAAAAATTATTCTACACATATTTGAATTAGTGGATTATTCTACGTTTTTTTAAATACCACTAAATATAAATTAACTTCAACTGTTTACTATTCCCTACACTGTTGTTCTCTTTAATTTATTTAATGCTATTTTAAAGTATACATGTATTTATAATTTCGTTTATTAATGTTTTTTAAAGTTAAGTGATATTGCCCGGCATCTACTTGCCCGGTATTCCTAACACAGAAATATCTCATTCCTATATTGTTATAATAATATAACCATCTATTATTAATTATAACCTAATAAGCCGATGAAAATGAAATTTGTGTTCCATACAAATCTAATTCATTTAATAAAAAATCTACTTTTCTTCAATCGTCAATAAATACAATGCAATGCTGCATTAAATGTCAGTTTCAAAATAGTTTAATTATGCTAAGCAAGCAAAATAAATGATTATTTAAAATAATCTAACATAAATTACAAATAATATTTAAAACTTGGGGGTAAAAATTTTAAAATTATGGAAAAAAACTCAAAAAGCTAAATTTTCTAAATGTATGAATGTACCTTAATACAAAAAAAGAACTAATTTAATTTTTTATGTATTTCTTATACACATAGAAATATTACTAAATAGGTATACAATTAAAATCTCATAATACTATGAGATTTGGCTCGACTACTTCGTTGTCATAAATTCCGCGATATGTTCCAAGGTACACACACCTGCAAGTTCTTGATAGTATCAGAATGCAAATTTTCAGAGATTCATTCAGATCATAAAACTACTAAATCAAAAGAAAAAAACTTTTTTTTGGGGGATATTGAATTTTATAATAATTAAAATTACTAACGCTTTCGAGGGTGGGGATGTAGGGTCGTTTTTCGAAAATCGCTTCTGTTCATGTGAAATTCTATCCAAATAAATTACACGTTCTGCATCGATTGGAATTCCCAGAAAGCTTAAACGTTCACCGAATGTTTCAGTAAAAGTATAACTATAAATTTTCTCACAGTAATGAAGATGATTACCACGTCAAACTGTACTAAACCCTAAGATGTAGACAAAATGGCAAAATCGAACGAGACAAACTTTGCGTCATTTTGTTTTTGTTTTAATACAGTTTTGTACACATCCAATTACTGCTGAAGTGTTAGAAATTCACGGAAAAAATGGTTAAATAACAATTTATTGAATGGTTATTTTACCATATTTAATCAAAACAGTCAAATAACCATAAATAAAGTGGAAATCAAACTGTTAAGTTTGAGAAAAACTGTTTATTAACCACTTTACGGTTACGCAACCAGAATTTTACAGCAGCCACTAGAACCACCTAATGAAGCTTTGCAACTGCGTACATATCATAGCCGAGTGGGTTTATCTGTCAATCTCAAAGACCGGCAGAGCTGGAGTCCGAGTCGTAGTGTTGACACTACAATATTCCCTTCAACACATGAAGAATTTCCAGTGTCCGGCACTGTCCAATGCCCATTACCTTACAAAAAGCCGAGCTCCTATATCTAGTTAAAAAAAATTTTTTTACGTTTTTGAAAATTGCTAGTAGTAAATGGCTAAAAAACCGTATAGTTTTGTAGTCATGGTTTTATAACCATACTTTTTGTAAATGGTTTCAAGACCATAAAAGAAAAAAAAAAGTTATTTACAAGGTTAATCGAATGGACAGACAGCTGCCAGTTATTTTACCATAATTTTAGAATGAAAACTTTATCAGTGCACACTATCTGCGCAAAAGTATTTGGACACTTAGTGGGATCCGGACATGAGAGTGTCGTGAGGCACTTATTAATATGATATTGGTCTCCCTTTTGCATGGATGACAGCTTTCTGGGAAGACTTTCCAACAGTTTTTGAATAGGACTTCCACCACAGCTGAAGTGAAGATTTGGTTGGCTACGTCATCTGCTCTCTAATTCGTCCTCAAAGGTGTTGTTCTATGGGATTTAGATCGGGTCTCTGAGAAGGCCAGTCCAGTATTTGAACATCCATTTTGTCAAACCACGTTTGTGCAAGCCTTGATGTGGAACAGTTATCCTGCTGGAAGAGAAATGGGCCGAAATATTGCCATAGAGTTGGGAGTGCAGCATTGTCCACATACATCTCAGAGTTCAACATACAATTCCAATCACAGGAAGTAACGGACCCAGGCAAAACTAAGATAAACACCCCACACAGTAATGCTTCCACCACCATAAAAACCGGATATCCGGATATTTTTGGCTTGATAGTGTATGTGAACCGAGGTAATGAAGAGGATTACCACCTCAGACGGCACTAAACACTAAAATTCAGACAAAATAAAGACAAAAATGCAAAACTGAACAATACAAACTTTGTATTATTTTGCTTTTGTTTTAATATTGTTTTACACATACACAATTACTGCTATTTGGTAAACTTCTTACAGCTGTCAAACGTATGGATAATGCAAATACGGAAATTTAATTTGTTGAGAGTTAAAAAAATTATTGATCAAGTATTTTGTGACCGTTTTTTCGAGCTACAAGCTAGCGTCCTTGTAAGCCAATTATCAATACAGTCAAACCCTTCAAGGGACCGAAATTTCAGTTTACTATATCCGTACTGCTAACAATATTAACTCATTTTTCTGAACTGCTCCCTTTTATGACACATTATTTGAATAAATGATCCAATGCGTTAATTTTTACAAAACAAAAAAAGCGTTAGTTTTTATTTCTTTATCACTCTTCGTCTTGCGTACAAGAAATTTAGGGATGGCCTTTATTTAGGGAAGGGAGACTGAGATAGAAGAAGCAAACAAACAAAAAATGCTTATGCCTACATCCCACTCAAAAGATGGTTTTAAAAATCGGTATGTGTATTTTATAAAGAAATTTCAAAATTACCAAAAAAAAATGGAGGAAAAAATTCAGTCGAAGACAGAAAAAAGTTCATAATAACCCATTTCCTCTTTTCTTTAAGTTCGCTATATCCACAAAAAATAATGTTATATGCGTATAGCAAGGCACGGGAGCGAACATTTTGTCCACTATATCCGGGAGTTCACTATAAACCGTGTTCACTATTACGAGGTTTGACTGTATATTGTAGAACTTTATTTTTGATATCAAAACTGGTATCTAAATAATTGCGCAAAATATAATAACTTGCGAATTTCATTCAGGCTATAAACTGTTCTTTGCCAGGGTATGAAATTTGCATGTTTACAAATATTAAAGAGAAAAAAAAGTTTAAGTGAAACATGATTGATGAGTAAAATATAAGGGTATTTGTTTGGAGAGAAAAATGTTGCGATCAAGATAAAAAAAAATAAATTAAAAAAAATGACATACTAGAAATTCATAGAATTCTCCAAAATATACGGAATATGGATAACCTAATTTTCGCAAATGGAAAGAACAAAAAAATATCCTTTCTTTTCATGATGGATGGGTATCGGAGAAATAAAGAAAAATTTGTTTGCATTCCTTTCCATTCAAACTTTCACTTCTGTAAAATGAAATCATTTTTATGATTAACTAACTATATGCGAATATAATTTTTTAAAATACTAGAACTGTGTTAATAATAATTGAAAAAATGTGCTAATATTTATGTAAGAAAGATCCATTTTGTGATAATAGTAATGACAACTATCATTTGGCTCTTAAAACTTTGAAACTCTTTAAAAAAATGGATAAAAAATTCGGGAAAATTTTAATTGTCTAGATCAGTGATGCACTTTTTTTGAGCCACCAAATTCTTAAAGCGTGCTGCTAAATTTTGTAAATGATATAGTAAAAATTATACTGCCTTTTTTTATTACGAGTCAAGTTTAAATTAAAAAGTCTATACATAATATTATATTATATCTATTTTTATAATTTTTCCATGCTGTAACAGCGTAAACATCTTAGACGTGTAAGTGTAAGAAATATAAGGACTATTAAAATTATTAATTGACAAAAGAAAGTAAGCTAAATTTTAACTTACAAAAGGAAATAAAAGATAACAATTAAAATAAGGTATGAAATAAGCGGTTATGAAAACAAATTACCAAACGATAACTAACAAAAAGAAATAAGCTAACAAAAAAACAAGCTAACAATTAATAATTAGCAACAAAAAAAAGTTCACAAGGAATCACAAAAAATAACAATTAATAGCTATAAAAAACAAGCTCACAATTAATAAATAGCAAAAAAACAATAAAAAAGTGAAAGTTAAAGTCATAAACTATTTTACACAGTATATTAAAGGTATTATTATGTCTGTTACCCATAGTTTTGTTTTCCCAAATATGAGAAGCATTATAAATTAAATACACTCACCTGGTTAATGGTTAATCAACCAGCGTTGATTATTTCTAGGAGGTACATCATTTATCTGACCTATTCGCATCATTTGTTCCCCCTGAAACCAAAAGAAAATTTAAATAAATAAAACAAAGGTCGGTTCCGAATGTTTTTTCAATTATTAAATTAAAAACAAAAATCAACAATAAATCCTTCTTAAAGCGCATTTTAGAACTTTTTCTTAGTGTGTTAAAAACAAGTTGTTTTAAAATTTTAAAGCCGTTTTTACTGATACCTTATTTTTGAAATTAGCATCACCAATAATACCGAAACCCGAGAATGAAAGGCATCGAAATTGGCCTTTCTGCATTTTTAGAAAATTTTGATCACATACAAAAAGTTCTTTTTAAATTTTAGAAGTAACAGTTTTACCACAGAAAATTAAATACTATTTAAAAGGGTAGCTCCTTATGACAAATATTTATAATAGCAAAATGAGTTTGTTCGTGTGTGTCCCTCTTATAACTCCAACAATCGTTTGCACTAGCGTCCTGAAATTTGGACAGAGGGGTAAAAAGGACAATTTTAGCCCTAGATTGCAATATTCGTTCAAAAATTTCAATTAGGTCGCTCAGAAGAGACACTTAAAAGTGAAGTTTTCTTATTGGCCTAGAGCTGGAGCTGTTGATATAAATGAAATTGCAGACGATTTTAAAGATAGAGTCAGCGATGCTTGCTTGCTTATAGCTATCAGTAATTAATAAAGGAGTTTATTGCTCGTTTTTAGACTCTTAATTATTTTTTATTCGTCATGTCAGTAGTTAGTACTGCATCGTCAATTTAGTATTCCTTAATTGAAACCACGCGTTAAATTATAATTATGATTTTAAAACGTATATTGCTTATAATTATGATTTTTAAACGTATATTGCTTATAATTATGATTTTAAAACGCATTTCTATAGAATTAAATAATTTAAAATCAATGGTATTTTAAATATGTACTGAAAAGCGAAATTAATGAAGAAATAGTACTATCTCGTTTAGGAGAAGGGTAAAAAAATCACACCAATTATTGACAGTAATGATGCTTGAATAATTTTTGTAAAAGGTACTAAGTAAAATAAAAAAAATAAGCAACGTACTGAAGAGAAAAATGAAGAAATTACACTAATTCATTTAGGAGAAGAGTTGTAAATTGTCATACTATTACTGTTTCATATGATGCTTTAACTAATTTTGTAATAGGTACTAACTGAAATATAAATATAAACTATGAACTGAAAAGAATAAATACTGTCGAATTGGTCTAGAAGAAAAGCAAAAACTCGCTATTCTATTTTTGTAGCAAATGATGCTTAATTAATTTTGGTTATAGGTACTATAACTGAATAAAAAACTAAACGGTGTATAAAATATCAACTAATGGAGAAATGGTATCGATTTGTTTAGCAGAAAAGTAAAAAAAAACAATGATGCTTAATTAATTTTGGTAAAATAAAACTTGCTTATTTTAATTAGTACATATTACCAAAACTAAAGTTGAATACTTAACTTCTTGTATTTAAGTAAATTAGTACCTAAAAAAGCAAGCTTAATGGAGAAGTGGTACTTATTCGTCTAATTCAGGGGCTCTAGCTAGATAATAGGCACTTTCGGTATTCAGGTAGTTAATGAAATTTTAATCAATATCAAATATACTAATGTAGATAAAGTTAGTATACATGGTACCTACTAAAAGCTCCATTTATGCTGTGCAGTTTCAATATAAATACTGTGGAAAGAGGATTATTTCCGGCTTTCAAAAGGGATAAGTACCATTAAAATCGCTTCATTGTTCTAAATTTTAAACATCATGATTTGGGCTGGAACAATAGCATCATTCCAATATATATGGAGTACAGTTAATCGTTATTTCGATGGGATGGACGACTAAAAACGTCTTTTACTTAATCAAGAATAACGCAAAGCCACCAGCAAGGGCAAAGAATAACAAATAAATAATAATTTGGAATTAGTTTATCCTAATTAATTTCGTTGGTATATGTCTTTTGGTGGTTGTTATATGTTTATTTTATTTTATAACCGTCGTTAAACAACTGTTCTAATTTTTGAATTTATGCTATTAATGTTCAACTCGTTAGCTTTGTCATTTTGAACCCAATCCAGAAGACAAGTGAATTCTTTGATCAAGTATTGGGAGAAATTTGCTTTCATACAGGACTTTTTGGATAGAACTAACCCGCATTTGCGTTACATGGAGAGGAAGATCATGCGAAACTCCCTCGGTTAGCCTAACGGCAAAGGGACTCTTACTCATGATCTGTCTACTACTGAGGATATTTCACGTCAGCACTGTGGTCGGTGCAAGCCGGATGCGGAATTCGTATCGACCAGCCATTGTTGGAATTTGAACCCGGTTCATCTCATTGGAAGGCGAACGCTCTATCCCCTGAGCCATCGCGGCTATGTTTAGTACTGATTTCTTGATCGTTTAATTTCTTCACTCCGTAAAGAGAACGGGCATTTAGTTTTTAAATTAACCGAAAGAAGTGTGAGGTCATAATAATGAGTAGCGAAAAAATATGATATCATGATCAAATGAATTGTAAGATGTATGCATATGCTGTTAATCAGGGCCCGTGCTAAGCATTCGCTACCTCGCCAAATACGATAAAATCTTAAATTTGGCAAATAAAATTGTGTTTTGGCGAAAGTATTAGTGAATGATTTTTTCCACCGGGAAGAAAAGTATATATTTAACTCGATCTTCAAAATTACGTCAAAATGAATTTTTCTAAACAAATCAGTATTTTTTTAAATTCGAATTCGATTACAACAATTTTCGGTAGATGAGCCACATAACCAAATAGAATTGGGTCCAAATACTATAAGCCTTATACTAAATAATCCAAATACTAAATAATAAACTACCTTAAAATAGCTTTCTATGGGAAAAAATGAATCATAAAAGAATTGTTAAAATTTGCATTTGGCGAAGACTTATGAACATCGGCGAATACTTTTGATATCTGGCTAATAATTTGAAATTCTTAGCGCGGGTCCTGCCTGATAAATATAAAAACTGCGAGCATGCATTCTTATAACTAAGGCCCGGATTTTGATGACATTTGCATTTTTGGACATTTTTTGTCCGTTAGAGCATTTTTTTAGATTTATAGAGCATTTTTCATTAAATTTGTTGGCTTATTTTGCATTTTAAAACATTTTTTAAATTTTTTGTTAGTTTTTTCCAATTCTTATTATTTTTTTATCATTTTTTATTATTACACTGGCTTCCAAACAGTGAAGAAAATCTCTAGGATATTAACAGGTGAAGCAACATCTTTTCAAATTGAAGAAGAATTGTCAGTAAGTGAGACCGTCTTTTTCAAGTACGCACCAATAACATCAGTAAACGTTGAAAGAAGCTTCTCCAGGTATAAAAATTTACTTTCAGACAAGAGACGCTCGTTTACATTTCAAAATATCAAAAAAAAATTTAATAATCCAATGTAATTCTGATATTTAGCAATATTATGAGATGGAAGTTGTTATATTCATTAAAGTTTCTAAACAAAATGAAAATGTTTTGGAGTCAATCTATTTTCCTTTTTTGTTGTTATTTTAGGATATAAAACATATTTTTCAAACCTTAATGAACGTAGAACAAGTATTGCATTGCTTTATATTTTTTGAAATGGCTCATAATAATTTTAAAGAGTAAAACATTGTTTTAGTTCAATATTTTTACTTTATTTAAGTCATGTCATAAGGCATTTTTAGCGCATTTTTGAGGGCATTTTTCGCACTTTTTAAGGGCATTTTTTGCACTTTTTAAGGGCATTTCTTGCACTTTTTAAGGGCATTATGGGGATTTTTTAGGTCATCAAAATCCGGGCTCAACTTTTATAACCGTTGTACAAGTGCAATCGTTTTTCTCGATCAAGGACATCCATCTGCTAAAGCGTTGGCCACTTGGTCACGTGACGGTATATCACAAATGATTCAGACATTTTTTATCATTTAGATTATCATTATTTCACAATAAAGCCCTCCTCAAAAATGCAAACAATAGTAAACAAATAATCGTCTAAATTTTATATAACGACTACCACCACTATTTTGGGTGTATTAATATTAAGGGGTGTTAAATTTGTAAGGCGTGCAGGAAACCACTCAGTAGATAAGTGGTTCGAGAATAAAATCAATCTACACAGAACAAAGTAAGCTTAGTTCTTTTCTTTTTTAGTCTGATGAAACAAATCAGAAGGATATCTTACTCTTTTCGCGAATAAACTAGCACAATTTTTTCTTCACTTTCCGGACTGCTGTTTAATTTCCCTCACATTCAATTTTATGCTCGTGAACTCAATTAAATCCTTTCAAAGAAAATTGGTAGCCGTACCAACGGATGTAATTCGAAATTCATGCAAGTTTATTTCATTCTACTTTGGACTTTTATAATACTACAGAAAAGCATATCCATGTTACAAATTATTAAAAAAATGTAACGATGATTTTTTACTATACATAAAAATCTAATGATAGTGTGGCAGTTTTCCATTGTTGTCAATACATTTTCATTGGCTGGAAAATCACATGGTTGGATACAGTTTTCCTATATTAATTTTTATATTGGTTTGGTTGTCATCAGTATAAAATTAATATAAGTCATCAAGTTATTGTTTTCTTACGAATATTTTTGTTTCCCTAAGTGAAAGGTCAAAATTACCTGCACTGTTATTATTACGTGTTTGATTTTGTTTGATTTCTAAATTAGGAGTTTATGAGGATTGTTTATTATTATTATTATTATTAGAATAATGTAATTATACGCTACATTTTAAGATAAAGTTACTTAAATCGGAGTATGACCTTATTAAGTATTTTAAAATTATTATTTTTGGTGCAAATTGCATTAATATACTATTATGAAATTAAGCTTTAAGAGATTGGTTAAATTATTTAGAACTTAACTTTCAAGTTCATGCACAAAGTGATGAATGCAAAAATGTTATTTAAAATACATCCGCCCGTTTGGTAAGCAAAAATATTAAATTATAGTAGTGAATTCACCAAATTTGTTATAACATCAAAAAATGATTACTTAGCAAT